GCTTATGAGCTTTCAGTTCTTTGTGATATCGATATTGCTCTTATCATGTTTTCTCCAAGTCCCTCCCAGCGTCTCAGCCATTTTTCCGGCAAGAAAAGGTACTGTTTTTTTTTTATATAATATATATTCTTATACATTTTCTGAAACCATCATCTTCATGTTTTGTACGTACGTAATATATCATTTGTAATTCTAATACCCATTTCTTTGTATATACTTGCATCGTTTCAGTCTTTTCTGATTTATTTGATGATTGAATATTCCCGGTTAATTTAATTATCACTCATGAATATATTCCTGTAATTTAAAATATTTGAGTTTGTAATGTTAAACTTGTGGATCAATGTGTCTCCCCTGAAATAACGAGGCGAAGATGATCCAAGAGTTTCTTTCAGCTAGTCCCATTAATTTAATTAAGGAAAAAAGGAAAAAAGAATTCCTGGTTTTCTAGTTCTCCGGGTAACTCCGGTAATTCTCCATGCCAAGAGTCCGTTGTGGATTCGATGATCGCTCGTGTTGAAGAGGCACTTTTTTAGCTTACATTTATAATTCCATGATTCTTGTAGACAGCGTCCCCGTATGTATCTGTGTGTGTGTGTATGGATGTATGTATGTATAGATTTGTCATTGAAACTATGAATATATACATATATCTCTTCTATACGTGGTGTATACACTAATGGTTTGTTGGCTTTGTCAAATAGGATTGAGGACGTGTTTATCCGTTACATAAATCTCCCAGACCAAGAAAGAGAACAGTATGATGTTGCCTACATTTTTATATTTCATAAACTTAAATTCAATTTGACACCATTACGATAGATGTAAATTTTGCAGTGCTTTAATCTTCCCGGAGCAAGGCAGGCATCCGTACGCTTTTAGACCCCTTTATTCTATAAAATTTAACGACACAACTATTTATTGTTTGATTAATTAACCATCTATTCATTGTTTTGTTGCAGAGATATCCAAAACAAAGAGGTAAATTAATATAATTTATTTTTGAAAAACCCATTTAAAAATAAAAATAAAATAGTTGCATTTCTCATAAATTGATGCAGTATTTGGTAAGGACCCTGCAGCAGCTGAAGTCTGAAAATGAAGTTGCTCTCCAACTTACAAAGTGTGTTATTTTCTCTCTTCCAATTATGTCATATTATTTTAATATCAATTTTTATTCTTTTATAATCTGATCTGGTGGTGCTGCTGTATTGACTTTGATTATATAGTCCTGCAGCTATCAACTCTGAGATTGAGGTGAGCTGCTCAAAAGTTTTATGACAAGAAATTAAGATTTTTAGTTTTTTGAGTTACTGATTAATTCATTGTAGGAACTGGAGCAAGAAGTTAGCAGGCTACAACAACAACTTCACATGGCAGAAGAGCAGATAAGGTGCTTAATAATTTTGCTAACCAGTTTAATTTGTTTGAAATATTTAAAGAAATAAAAGGAAAAAATTTGGGTGTTTTTTAATATATGAAAGAGCGTACGAGCCAGACCCATTGAGGATGACATCAATGGGGGAGCTTGAATCATGCGAGAAGCATCTTCTTGATACACTGACTTGTGTTTTACAGAGAAAGGTTCACAAATTTTCTCTCTCTTTTATTATTATTATTATTATTATTTTGTTTTGAAACACAGAGAGGATTTTGTTCATTGATAATTTGGGGTGCAGGAATATTTGTTGAGTAACCACCTATCTACATATGATCCATTTACCATACAGCAGCAGGTAATTATTTAAAAAATGTATAATATTTTATTTTTTTTAAAAAAAAATTATATTTGAGTAAATATTAATTTAAATGGCAGCGAGGGATGGCAACCGGGTTTGAAAACGACGTGGTGGGATGGCTGCCTGATGGATCTCACAGCCAAGCCCCATTATTTGATGCATCTGCTCCGTTAAATCCACTCAGGTAGACTACAGTAAGTTTAGGTTTATATATATATATATATTTAAAAAAAAAAAAAAAAAAAAAAAAGAGAGATTTATGGTTTCAGGGATCTGTCTTCTACAATTTATGATCCGTTGCTAAGGGGATCCGGATCGACCACGAATCCCAACAACGCCGAAAGCTTCCCGGACTGGCCTCCTCCGACTCATCAGACTTTTACTACGTCTACTTCCTTGTTCCCTCAGATCCAGGTTTTATTTATTTCATAATCTTTTTTTTTTTTTTTTTGCGGGGAGAGGGGTTGGGGTGGGTTGTCAAACCTAAATTTATCATAATCTTAATTGACAGCATGGAATTGTGGGACCAGACTTGCAAGATATCATGCAAAGTGAACAGGTGGAGGTCCCTCTGACTGCCACGCACGCACAGCCAAATCACCAACACACTAATTACGATCCCAACAAACTCC